CGAGATGTGAATAGCCAGGGGCGATTCATGAATGGGGTCAACATCGATTCGTGGGCAAAATTTAACGAACTCAGTAATAGGAGCAGGGAGTTGTAAAATACCGGTATTTTACTACTCCCTGGTTAGGAGAAGAGGTCAAGTTGCCACCACTCACCCTGTATGCCCGTCGCCTTCTCCTGCCTGGGTAGCTTGGTAACGGGTGTCGACGACGATGGCGACCGCTCTCCACCAGAGCCATCTACAATCACGGCACACACCAAACAAAACGCACACACACACACACCAAACAAAACACACACACACACACACACACACACACACACACCAAACAAAACGCACACACACGCGCACACACACACACACGCGCACACACACGCGCGCACACACACCATGTACCACACGCATGCAGTAAAACCTGTGACTGACGACCACCCGGCCCTTGGGGTCAGAGAAAGCGGTCTTTATTGGCAGGCGGTCCTTAGTTAGAGGCTTGCACCGCACAACCATACATGAATGTGAGACCGTCCGTGCCTGGCAAAGTCAAGTGGTCTGTAGTAGCAGGCTGGTCGCTAGACACAGTGGTCTTTAGTTACAGGTTTTACTGTAGTAAAAAATCGGTATCAGGGACCTGCCAGGTTTCAGGTGAAATTTTGACTTCGGTGATCAGCCTACCCTTCACAAACAGTGCGTACTCTACAGTCCATTCATTGGAAACTGGCACCCTAACTTTTTGGTGTCTCTCTCACATAGTTGTAGATATCGTGAAAACAACAGTACATCCTGCATTGTGTGACCCGTGCAATTACTCCTTGCCACATTTGAGGCCAGAAAAGTCCAAGAACAGGGAGATAGAAATTCAGCCAGGTTTTACAAAATTAGGACAGGTATGCCATGGCAAAATGTATGGAGAAGCAGATCCAAAACCCAGATTTTTGAGATTTAAAGTGGGTTTTTGATCCTCAATTCGGCCCGAATCCAACTTTCAAAAGCCAGCGGGCCAGTTTCCGATGAATGGACTGTAGCGCCGTATATGTGTTATCTAAATGTAGGTGACTGGTTCCTCTACCGAAATTAAAATAATAGTCGACTCCACTTATAACGAATTCGCATATTATAGCAAATTTCGTGATACAGGTGGAATCCTGATAATTCGAATATGGCCTAATTCGAACATACCGCTTAATTAGAAGTTTTTCCAGGACCGATTTCTATCATTACGATTCCCACTTAAAAAATTCTGATAATTCGAACCTCGAACTGGACATGTCCAGTTAATAGATGATATGCCAAATAACGTGCAACTAGACTTGAGAGGGCATTGCAGAGTAGTTGCATACAAAGTTCAAAGTTGTACGGTTACCTGTGACTTGCATTCCTGCAGAGCTCAGGGTCTACCATGTACACATTGTAGTATAATTTGTATGCAACTTGTGTGCGATGCCCTCTCAAGTCTAGTTGCGCGTTATTTGGCATATCATCTATTAGAAGTCCCACAGATTCCACTTACATAGAAAATGTGTGGGATTTGTGCTGATAATTCGAAGTTAGCAAAGTGCAATTTGAAGTTCACTGTACACTGTACTGGTCAGTTCAGTTTGCATGAGCAGGCTGTGCCGGTCAGTTCAGTGTCCGTAAAATTTGTGTCTAAGGTCCATAGCGCAACTCTGCGTGACCATGAGAGCATTTCGACATACATATTGAGTTGTGGGTTCATGTTTGGATAATTAGAATGTCCGGATAATTAGAAGTTTTTTCCTTGCATTTTGAGGTTCGAATTATCAGGATTTCACCTGTATAGCGAACCATTGTCCGTGCCCCAGTTTGAACACATACAAGATCGATCACTTACAGTGAACAGTTTTCGTTTACAACCAACCAAATATTGTAGTCAGTTTCCTCTGAGACAAAAATGCGATAATACTCATAAAAAGGACACACTTCCGGCTCATTACAAACATCTTGAAAGTTTTTGTCTTCACAAGTATACTTTCAAGCCTTCTCGCCAGGCGAAATGACGAGAAGGCTTGAAAGTATACTTGTGAAGACAAAAACTTTCAAGATGTTTGTAATGAGCCGGAAGTGTGTCCTTTTTATGAGTATAAATCTTGTAGTGCTGCATGTAAACCAAGTGCAGTCATACTGCCATGGGCTGTCCGTCAGTCATACTGCCATGGGGCATATGTCAGTCATACTGCCATGCCATGGGGCACATGTCAGTCGTGACTTGCTGCTTGTATAGTGTGAATGCATTTCTGTTATAACGAACTTTGGCTATAAAGAACCACTTCTCATGCATAATGGTGTTTGTTATTTCAGGTGTCGACTGAATGAAGTTGAAGACACCACTGCAGCTATGTTGCTGTTATATAACTAGGCGCCAGGCGCGAACTGATGGTGGTGGTGGTGGTGAGAAGGAGAGCTCTGTGCCAGAACTTTGCAGCTTAGAGAGCGTGTGTGGGCAGGCGTGTGTTTACCGCCATATTGCCAGGTGTGTCTTTACCACCATATTTATCAACCATAGGTGTCGACTGTACACCGAAAATAGCATGTTATACAGTACAGTGGCCGCTCAATGGAATCCGATCGTGACGCTCAAGTTTGCGCTCTGTACCAGTACAGCATTGCAGTGTTCGCAGGTCTAAGGGCTGAGCAGCGCCCGGAGGCATGGTATTCACTCGCTTGATCGGATTTCCTTCTGCAGTCCTGTAGATAGTGGCATCGAGCACACGTTAACACCGCAGACCGCTCCGGGCATGCTGTGCGGGACACCCCGGGACCCGCGTCCCTGGACTGGTGTCGATCTCAACAGGTGACACCGACATGCGTTACCTGCGGTCGGTCCCGTATGCAGTGGATCACCCTATAACACAAGCAGCCTGCAACAAGTGAACTTGTTCCTTTCGGATGCCCCATGGAAGGCAATACACAGAGAAGAACGGCAAGATTTGGCAGACACCTCAAACATTTTCTTTCCTGAGTTACTAGCATAATGTGAGCTGTACTTCTTTTTAAGTTTTCATTACTATTATGGTGCGTTTGCCGTTGAGTTGGAATTTATTGTATTGAATACTTTTCGAATGACAGCAACGTTCAAGGCAACACTCTGCATGATGCTCCTAATAATACAAGGCTGAAGTAAAAAAAATAATAGTTCAGTCTCAATAAATCAGTTTAGAGGCCCATTCTCCACCAACCTTGCTCGTCGTGCTTTCGCTTGGTGGTGGGCTTCTTGTAGAAGTCGGCCAGAGCTACGTCTCGCCGCTCCTGCACCTGACTCAACATTGCTACTTGGAGTACAAGCCTTTCTTCCGAAGGAAATCACTTCGTAAATTCTCTTTGAATGACTTGAGAATTGATTGGGCAATTTTTGAAACTCTCAACAAAAGCTCGCATGCAACACGCGAAGAGCCAGCTCAGCCGGAGCTGCAACGAGCTTTCTTTAGGAAGAAGAGAAGAGAGGGTGCTATTTTATGGAAAGAAAGTTGTTCGGAGATGCTCTCAGCCTGCCATGCCATTCGTCCACACCGGCCGTGTCGGCTCGCGGCACATCAGCCTTCTCCAGATTTCAGCAATCAGCATCAACAGCCTCGATCTTGTCAGTGTTGATCTGTCGACTGTGTTGTCGATGGGGCCGAAAGTGCACAGCAGATTTCGAAACGTGCCAGACGGGCGGCACGTGGTGCGCCGTACTTTTGATCAAATTTTTGCAGAGAAAATGACATTTTCCTGCACCCCATGATCATGATGACGTAGAGTCTCTCCACTGGACTGTCAGTGCAACAGTATCCAAGGAGACAGCCAATAAACACAGGAAGGAGGGGAATTACTTACATAATCATTGGACATCACATGGGGTACGGACTACGGAGACATAATCATTGGCCTATTGCCAGTATTGGGTCTTCTGAAGTTCTGGATAATTTCGAGGTGCATGTCTCGAGTGTGAGCCATCTGCGTTCTACGTATAAGTTGTAAGCTGTATACATTATTATTATTATTATTATTATTATTATTATTTATTCATATTTTGATAGGGCAATCCCCACAGACTCAAGGTCTTCTTACGGGGTACCCTAAGTCTAAGAATGAAAGTAATGCATGGCGAAATAGGGATGGCGATGCAGCAGTGCGGATATCAGATGGAGCACTATTCCATCTGTCTGCAGCCAAATAAGAGAGAGAATACATGTACATGACTTTTTGTATATGTACAGCTAACTGTACATGGTATAAGCGGGGGTGAAACCTCTCTCCTGGGAGACTCCAGGAATTCGTCAGGACTGCCAAGCAGTGCAAGCACTCGGATTCGGAACACAGAACTGTTCGGCTGCAGCCCATGATGATGCACAGAGCCATCGACAAAGCATGTACAGTCAGACCTCGCATAACCGCACACATCCGTTTTCCACAAAATTATCCGGATAGGCGAGGGAACCGGATAATCGAACACACATACTGTATGTAAGCATGGCATATGCTGTACATTTGTAACCAACTATTTTCTTCCGGATGGCGAGGGATCCGGATAAACGAGGACCGGATAAGCGAGGTCTGACTGTATCTTCGCCCATGAACCGACTATGAATGATACCTGACAGTCAAACGAAAGGTGCTGACTGCTTGCTGAGTGCACCTGTGAGCCGTAACGTCACAGTACGAGTCGCACCAAGTCGAATCTGCAGATGAACGTTTTACCAAGAGTACAGGGGGGGGGGGGGGGGGGTATAATACTCTTGGTTTTACATGTATGTACATGTACACGTATGTATGTACTCTTGATAAGATTGATAAGCTAGACTAGAGTGTGACAGCTCATTGGAGGGGGACAGTATACATGTAGTTACCAGACTACACTGCGCCCGGACCCCAGCTACAATTGTAGCTCATGTCATGAGGGGTGGTACGGCCGATCATGATTTTCCCATATTCAATGTCCATATCATGGGAGAGGGCAGGTCAAGCCACTATGCAATGCATCATGATACTGAATATGACTGTTTCATCCACGCAGTCCGCTGGCAACAGATGCAGCTAGCACTGTAGTCCTCGCAGGACACGAAGAACAGTTTTAGGAGATAGGGAGGGGGGGGGGGAGAGAGAGAGAGAGAGCGAGAGAGAGAGAGAGAGAGAGAGAGAGAGAGAGAGAGAGAGAGAGAGAGAGAAGAGAGAGAGAGAGAGAGAGAGAGAGAGAGAGAGAGAGAAGAGAGAGAGAAAGAGAGAGAGAGAGAGAGAGAGAGAGAGAGAGAGAGAGAGAGAGAGAGAGAGAGAGAGAGAGAGAGAGAGAAGAGAGAGAGAGAAGAGAGAGAGAAGGAGAGAGAGAGAGAGAGAGAGAGAGAGAGAGAGAGAGAGAGAGAGAGTGAGAGAGAGAGAGAGAGAGAGAGAGAGAGAGAGAGAGAGAGAGAGAGAGAGAGAGAGAGAGAGAGAGAGAGAGAGACGCCAGCCGTACCAGTGGCTCCGGCCCTGTTGTGTGCGGCATGGAACTACCCATATGAGTCGTAGGCAAACACTGGAAGATTCTGAAGGATAGCCACAACGAATGGGATGTATGTAAGCAAGAGTAGGTCTATGTACTCTGGATGTAAGGCGTAAGGACGCGATGATTCCGGAGAAACAGGACAGAAACGTCAAACTATCGGTTTGAAATAGCCCTGTGCGGATAACGCCAACAGAAAACCGGTAGAAGTTGACGGTGCTTTTCTCGGACGGCCCGTCGGGTATGTACCATGTAATTCTGTTGAAGCTATAAAGCCTCACATTTAGTGCAGGTGTGATAGTATGATGCCTGAAAAGTTGAACTGCAGGATCGTTGTTAATATACTGTGATACATATACATGTATCTTCTCGGTAAATGGATGTGTAGTGTCTGTCACGGCATCAGGATATTATATTATACACTCGAAACTTCCTAAGCTGGTTGTGTTTCTCAACGCAATTGTATAGCCGGTGGTAACGCGGACGTGCAAACTTTACTTTACTTACACTCATACTTGTAGAAAAGAAAAGGGCATATGGATACGAGTTAAGAGTAACTCTCCATCACTGTAACTGGATACTATATACAGTCAGAAAGTGCAATAACTAGGCACAAAACTGACAGAGTACTGAGACATTCGAAGTCCTGACACCTAGCTTCAACACATCTCCGTAGCGCTAACCGACAGCCTTCCAACTTGGAAGGTTCAAGGTTATGAAAAGAGAGGGGAAGGCAAGCGCAACGAAAACGAGCAAAAGCTACAGTCCCAACGGAACAAAGAATGTCGATTGTTACTGGACGATGACGAGACCAGTACGATATTTGACAAAGCGGTCTGACTACAATTCGAAGCAGCAAAGCAGCACACCACCCAACTTGGGTGGGTCATAAATATCAAAGATAAGTAAAGAAAGGGGAAGCTTTGCGAAAACGAATTGTTCAAGCCGAAAGCCAAACTCCTACAGTACTCCTCATGCATGACATTGTGATGGACTAGTTGACTACAGAACAAGTTGTGTCACACGACCTCTTAACTCGTATCCATATGTCCTTTTCTTTTCTACATTTATTTATGGCTCAACATCCGAGTTTCAAACTACACTCATAATTCCTTTCCTTTCAGTTGCATCTTCCTTTCTGCTCTGTTTTACTTTCTCTTTTCGTTCGTCCCGCTTGATATTTGTACTTTGTACTGTTGAGGCAACGCTGCACACCCTTAGGATGTTGAGGCAACGAACTGCAATAATAAAAACCAAACCAAACCATATCTCTCTTATCCGCCGCCCCGGTAGGGACCGGCGGATTATGCTCGAAAAGGTGGCAGATTCTGCTCGAAAAGCAGTGAAATTGGCAGAACCATTATAAACCATATGGCGGGCAATTCCTCGAATTCTGCTCCATTTCTTTATCCACATACCAAACATGCTTGAAACGTACCAGAAAAAGTACCGAATTCTGCCAATTTTTCTGCCGGCATTATCCGCCGGTGGCCCGGTGCCTAGGCACTGCCCATAACTACCGGCACATGTATAATGTGCTTCAAGTGCTGAAGTACTTGGAAATGTCCATAACTCTGAATCATGCACGTTTTGATGGGGAACTTGAGGGCCAGAGATCTGGCATATGGCTTCACCGTATTTCCATAAACATTGGCAAAAGACTCTTGGTATTCATTTGTTTGAGGGAAAGGTGCAAAAATAATGGGAAAAGTCGGAAGAAAAGTTGACTGCCATCACCAGGACTCGAACCACGGACCATCGCTTGTGGCCAGCGATGCTCTACCACGAACGTGTAGCCATCATCCAAGCAGCGACCGTTCAACATTTTCTTCAGACTTCGACTCGATAGCCTGTGATATTCTCACCAAACTCACCCATGGGCCAGGGGTGCCCAATAGGCAATAGGCCGGGGTCCCTGTAACTTTGAAGTCTGAATAGGGTCCGGCGGATTCTGCCGGCAGAAAAATTGGCAGAATTCGGTACTTTTTTTTGGTAAGACGTAAGTTTCATGCATGTTTGGTATGTGGATAAAAAAAATGGAGCAGAATTCGAGGAATTGCCCGCCACTGAGTAATAATGGTTCTGCCAATTTCACTGCTTTTCGAGCAGAATCTGCCACCTTTTCGAGCAGAATCCGACGGTCCCTAGCCCCTAGGTCTGGATACTAGACTCAGTACGAGTGTATGCTCCGGTGGATACGTGTACAGTATTTAGCAAGAGTACATACATGTACATTGTACAGTGCTGGCAACTGAAATCCGACCCCTTGAGCGGCGGGCTCACATTCTAGCGGTCTCTGTTTCGTAGTTTTACCATCCCGGCCGTGTTGAGTCTTTGCGATGTGAGCGCATCGCTCAGGGGGTCGGATTTCAGTTGCCAGCAAATTATGTACTAGTAACCATGTACTCGGACTTAGTACAAAAGTCATGTACAGTAAAACCTGTCACGGCGACCACTCGGATAAGCGGCGACCACTCGGATAAGCGGCGACCACTCGGATAAGCGGCGACCACTCGGATAAGCGGCGACCACTCGGATAAGCGGCGACCACTCGGATAAGCGGCGACCACCTGTCCTAAAGGACCACTAAAACCAGGACCATACCAAGGGATGCTATTTCCAGTCAAATGACCCTGGATAAGGAGACCACCTGGTAACAGAGACCACATTTTGAAGGTCCCTTGAGCGCGGTTGTCTTAGACAGGTTTCACTGTACATTATCAGCAGGCCTGGTTGGTCAGGTTTTACCTGACCAGCTTTTTGCCCACCAACCTGATTGTGTTTACCATGGTTTACCATGGTTTACCATGGTTTACCATGGTTTACCATGGTTTACCATGGTTTACTACTGTGGTGGTTATTTAAACCCGCCATATCACACACAAACTGTATGAAAGGCCATGATGCTACCGGACCAATCAAAAACTGCTTCCGGCGGTCCTGACATGTACAGTCATGACTCATGTATCACTGATATACATGTACATGTAAAGACTGAATCATTGCTCCTGCCACCTAATCAACACAATCAAGTAATATTAGTTTTACAATCATGTATCGCAGCCTGTCAAACCCTATTTATAGGGTTTTCAGCAT